ATATTTCAACTCAACATGATGTATATAAAAAATACATAATGCTAATTTTAGGGCCATACATTTTCATTCAAGTTCAAATGATGTTAGTAGCAACAATAGTTCCTGGGCCATGTAGTTAGCAGCAATACTCTGACTCCTCCTAAACTATATACAACACACAGGTGCACTCGGAGGTCAGATTCTATCTCTCATACTGACTGATTCACCTATTTCTGTGGTCATATGCAAATTACCTAATCTTGCAGTGTTCTGTTTCCTTATTTTATAGAATGGAATGGCAATGCCTCCTGTCTACCTTTGCAGAGGTTGATTTTAAATAATATTTATTGAATAACTAAATTATTCCTTAAAATATAACTTTTATATCTCTTAACACAGTAAGATAGTATAACTAGAGTCATAGAAGACCCACATATATGAGAAGTGGAGGCACTACAGGGATGGTTCGGCATTGCAATTAAAACATGGGCTTTGGAGTCTAATATTAGTTAGACTAGTTAGTCTAGTCTCAGTTCTGCCATTCATAACCAAATGATAACAAATGGTATTTTTTTAGTCTATGGAATGGATATAATAATAAATTGTTGTAAAGAGTAAACACACATAATGTTTTAGAATGGCAACAGTCACAAAATATGCTTGAAATAAATGATAGCAATTATTAATCTGTTTTCCACTGACTCAGTTCAACTTAAACAAAATCCCAAATCCCTATGTGTTTGCCTGTCCAGATTCAGAACACAGGTGTTATCTAACATCTTCAGATGAAAGGTTGCAAGATGGCACTTAATGATTCTTCTGTGGTATTTTTGGATTTCCCTAAAACTAGTCTATCATCTTAGAATTACCATTCTAAATCTCTAAGAAATCACCCTCCCACATAAGCCATGCCTGTACCTAGAGAAAGGTTGAACTTGCAGGTTCTGGCATGATGTCCTGATGTCTCTGCAGACCATTTTCATTTTCAGCCTTTAATCCTTCCTGCTCTCTAATCTACTGATCTCAGACTATGAAATTATTCTTGAATCTTGAAAGCATTCTTTGCATTTCTCACTCATTATCTTCAATAAAGTAGCTCCAAGGGAGTTTGCTTAAATAACTTCTGTTTTGTTCTGTTGAGCTGAAGTTTCACTATAATGACCACTATACTGTTCATGAACTTATGAACTCAAGCAATCTTGCCACCTCAGCTTCCTGAATTCTAAGACTAGAGGCATGTGCCCTCACCCAACTTGAGTAACTCTTAATGTACTTCCTCTAAGCCCTGACACTGATGGAACCTTGGAACATGCTATGGAACCCATTTCTCTACAGACTAGAAGGAGACCTGTACTGCAACCACTCAACTGACCCAATTTTAAATATGGAAGTCCATCAGGCATGGATATAAAACTCAATGCTAATGTTGAGATATGAAAATGTTTCAATTTGTTCCCTCATTATATTGACCCATTCTTATTTTAGAGGAAAAGAGACAAAAACAAAATAACGAAAGTCCTTTAGACAGTTACAGTTCATTCTAACCAATGAATTTATCACAAAAAATGTTACACTTAGCTCCATTTTCACAATATAGTAAACGTAATTTTCTTGTAGAAAAGAGTGGTGTAGCCATGTGCTATGTTCACAGTCACTGATCAGCTTTGAGACAGTAGGGAAGTTAGGTCACACGCTTATCTTATACAAAGACAATTTAGAAAGAAGGGAGGTGGCCAGTGAATTCTTTAAAATGTTTAGAACATGAAAGTAAAACTATGCCTGTAGCCTTTCTTCCTCAGCACGTGTACATAATTTCACATCGACCTTTATGTTATCTGTCTCCTTGCCAATATATTCATATTTTATCCATGAATATACATAGACATTTTTATAGTTCTTAGGCTCTTGAAATTAGCCAGAAGCGATTCCACTTTCCTGTCAAATTTTCCAAAGACTCTACTTAGGTTTCCACTTGTGTTAGACAATGTGTTATATTCAAAAGATCCTAGACTTTTAAAATACAAATGGTTATATCCAAGATCTTAGACCTGAGCCTGGACCTCTGAGCTACTGTCACTTAATTTTGTAAAAGGAGTGATAACCACTTAGGAAAACATTACCCAAAATTCAATGAAATAGCAGTCTTACAAGATACACGATGTAAGTCTACACAGGACTTGGCCCCAGTGAAAACTCACTAAAAGTTGTCTTATAAATCAGTACTGAGCTTAGTTGAAAGAGAAATTAGTGCATGTCAAACCCCTGTAGCACAGACATGTTGCAACTCTGAACCTGTCAATGGAAAACCCTTTTAGTATTACTTCTGACTAATTTCAAGGTGTGGCATAGTTTTATGATGAGGTTTTCCTGTAAACAAACAGATTTTGAAAATATATATAAGACCAACTTCCCTGTTTGACATAAACTACTCAAATATAATTTCATCCTCCGCAGTTTTCATACCTTCTGAAACTCTCCTCACTTCCTTAATCATCATCATGTTGCATAAATAAGTGCTTGTCTCCCTTGGAGGGAAAGATGACTAGGGAGAGAGCACCTCTCATTAAGAAATAATTATGCCAATTTACTAAAACAAAAGGCGACCTCTTTTAATAACCGAGCTATTTCATTTATGCTTCAGTTTCTTTCAGCTTCCCACATTCCTTTCTTTTTTATGTCTACACTATATTGGTTCTTCCCAAATATAAGGGAGTTAAGAAATTCCTTTGTGTAAATGTTTAAAATATGGCTCCCATGCCTCAGATTTATTAGGATTTCTGGGATGGGGACTATATATCTTGATTTTTAATAAGCACTTGTAAATTCTAATGGGAGTGTACATTGGGCAATTCTTTGAGAATTAGTTCTTAAGTAAAAATCAAACTTGTATATTTTTGTTTCATTTGAATATTACTCATTTTGCATTCACCTATCTAAATATGTGTAGATGCTGGGGCTGGAGAGATGGTTCAGTGGTTAGGAGCACTGGCTGCTCTTGTAAAGAACTGGGCTTCAATTCCCAGCACCCACATATCAGCTAACAACTATCTGTAACTCCAGTTCCAGGGGAATCCAATGCCTTCTTCTGGCCTCTGTGAGCATTTCATGACACAGGTGTACTTACACACATATAGGAAATACACTCATGAACATAAAATGAAAATAATAAAATATTTTAGATATGTATAGATGCTAATCACTATAAATTTGATCCACTTATCTCTAATTCTCATTATCATTTGTTACTAGTAAACTTTGCACACACTTCCATCAATAATAAAAAATATATTTCACAAATATATTCAATTAGTACATTCTCCTCCAAGACCGCTTTCCTATAAGCTCATACCTAGCAAGGTTTTCTTTAACTTTCTTCTGTGTGTCTTTGTAAAATTCATGTGTTGCTTTCTTCATGCTCAAAGAATAGTATGAAATAAATATTTGGAAAAATTTTCAGCATAAGAAAAATAATCTTCAATTGGTCCAAACTATGTTTTTATCCTTAAATTTTTTTAAATAGTGACTCTCATCTAGCTGGCATGGAGGGGGAGGTTATCAAAATTCAGCTAAAGTTGAAGGAATGTATTAGTACAATTCTCTACCTATTCTCTGCTTTCCTAGGAATGAGCTTCAACTCAGAAATTGTCCTTCAGACATCTGCTCCCTCTCCACTTTAACCCATCCCTTGACATCTGATCTTATGTTGGCTCATTCAAACATACTTTGCTTCTTTGTTCAGATCTTCTTCAGGTCAGGATTTTTTACTTGGGAGATAGCTTCCATCCATTCTGACGCAGTACTTTTAGACATAATTGCATCTTCTGTTTCAAATTAGAGATTACTTCTAGAAAAAAAATGACTATAACACTGCCTTCATTATAGTTTCTCTATACATATAGAGTAAAATCCAAATTCAGTCAGATCTATCACAGACTAGGACTGGAATTTAGTATGTTGAGCTTGGGAGAGCCTTTCTTGAAATACTATTTTCTGTAGTAATGTTCTTAAAGAGGCACAAAACCATTATGAATTATAAAGAAATACTTATAAAAGGCAGATATTACTGAATTTGTAAGATCTATAGCTCTTAACTGCTTTATTGAGAAACTAGAGAAATATTCTACTTCTCATAAAATGTTTAGAACTACCGTCAATGACAGAATCATACTTCTCTCTGATTAGATGAAGACCACAGATTCCACTAAAAGTTTTATGCTTTCTTCTCAAAGTAAGAATTAACATACTAAAATATAAATTAATGATTCCTTATCAATGAATAAATAAAAAAGGATTTACCAATATACCTTAGAAAATAAATTTTAATATGAAGATTAGATTATTTTGAGTCTCATTGAGTGAGTACACTAAAACCTTGTCAGGATCTAATTTCTAACACTGAAAGAAAACAGTAAAGAAATTGTGGTATAACATTAAATTTTGTATGCACGTGCATGGTGTGCTAGAGCTTCTCACCATCCAGGTGACTACTCTACCCCTGAGCTACAACAGCTCCAGCACTGGATTTATTTATTTTTAATCTAGCTGTCATAATTTAATTGTACAAGCAATCATTTTAAATTGCTTCTTATTCTTTCAACTTAATTTTATAATTTTAAACTATTTAGAGAAATAAGCAATTTTGAGTTGCACGATTTAGTATTTATATGTCTCATTTATACCATATGAAATAAGAGCATTTTCTCATCAGAACCAATAAGGTCTAAATTAGAAACACATTCTATTCTTCCTGAAACAAGGAAACTAAAAGGCAGCAGTGCAGTACCACCTTCCTTTATATTTGGAAAGCTTACATTTTGGAAAGCTCTTCTGAGCATGAACAGACATAAGAGAGGGGAACACTCCTACAGAAAATACTGAAATCTGCTTAACACAATATCATTTAAAGTCTCAAAAACCTTTCTCCATATTAAAGGTGGTGAACTGGAGATCCACAAGTCTTTAGTGTGGTATAGGCCACAATAAACTACAAGTTTCAAGAAAGAAAGGAGAAGGGAACTTACCGATACATTGCTAACCAGCAGGGAAGAGTCCTGTGGTAAACAGTCTGTGACTGAATGTGTGCATTCAGCTCTATTAGTGGCTTTGTAGGCTAAAGTGAGGCAAGGAAAGAAGTCACAGATGATCTGTAGAGAACCAGTCTGACGAGTCTTGACTTGTGTGGAGACTGTTTGTGAGACTAGTAAAACAAAGATGCATTTTATAGGGAACAACAACAAAAATAATTTATAAGCACTTTCTAGGAGTGGGGACTTAAAAGCTGTTGTCTTAAGATAATTAAAAAATATGAACATGACAGTATTTTTAGGAAATCCTGATATTTAAATCTAGAAAAAAAAAAAAAAAAAAGCAAAATTAAGAGTCATCCTGCTTAGCTTCCTCAGATTTCTAGTGGAAAAAGTGGTGTTTAATTAGACTAAATGACTTGGTAAAAACATTAATTAATCATTAATAAATGAAACTCACCATTAATGAACTTCCAGACAAGGACTAACACCAGTATTTTTTTTAACTAAGCTAACACAATTTCTACTCTGTCAAGCATACAATGAAAGTTGTCCTTTGGTATTAACTATAAGTCAGCTGTTGAAAATACATCAGAGATTAGAAAAACATTAACATCTTAAACCTATGTGCTATTGTTACTCTAGAAAATCCAAATCATTTACACATCCGAATCCCTAGTTGAGAGCATCTGTTTCTTTCATTTTGCTGGAATCAGATATAGCAGCTAACTCACTATTTTATATATTTCAGAAAGCAAATAGTACTTGTGAATGTGTGTTTGCATACCATATGTAAATATCTGTGTTTAAGACATAATCTCTAAATTGCCTTACCTAATCCCCATAATCTGGTTTATGTGTTCTCTGTGCTTGAATGGCATTTAGCCACTGTACTGGAATTTTTAAAAAATTGTCTCTCACTCTGCTTGACTTTGAAATTTTCAGAAAGAAACCTTTTTACTAGCATATATGGACTCTCAAAATTACATATGGAAAGGAGAGAGGGAAGAATGTGGGCAATAATGCCTAAAAGTCACCGTAGAGGAAACAAATAAATATTGCTTAAATAAATTACACATCCAGTTATGATGGCTCACCTGAACAGACACAGAAGTTGGGATTAATGATGAGGAGTGGCATTGGAATTACTCTAGCAGAAGGAACTTTATGCTGGGCATACTATACTCGGGACTACAGAGATGTACTTCATTACTTTTGAGACACGGTTTCATGTAGCCTAGGCTAGCCTTGAACTCATTATGTACTGGAGGATGCCCTTGAACTTTGGATCCTCCTGTCTCCACATGCCCAGTGCTGGAATTATAGGTATGCACCACACCTGGTTTTATGTGATGTTGGGTATCAAACTCAGGGCTCTGTGCATACTAGGTAAGCATTCCTCCAAGTGAGCTACAACCCTAGTTTTAAAAATGTGTTCTTTATATTCAAGGCAATAAGTCACTTAATACTGGTCAATATTATGCTTATTTATTTACTCTCTATCTTACTGGGAAGGAAAATTTATCTAAAATTAAAAAGGCAACAAAAAGTAGTAAAAATTGATTTTGAGGTTAAATTGTTCTTTATAGCCTTTAAAAATGAAATCTCAGAAATTAAATATTAATGTGACTAATACTTTGTATTATTTTGTGATCACATTATCTGAAAATGTTCATTCTGCAAATTTTGCTTTCAAGGGAAAACATACTCTTCTTCCAGTGACTCTGAGCCAAGACTTGTCAGGTTCATTTAACAAAATCTTGTCTTTTTTCCCCTTTCACAAAATCCACATTTCAAATTTAAATTAATTCTTATATGTCTCTAAAGTTTTGTATACAGAGGTACACATACACCTAGAAATATAGATGCAGAAAATGAGACGACATTTTTCAATTAGTTTAAACACTATGAGAATAAGTGTTTAGAAAATCAGAGCTTATGGGTGTGTAAGTAGAGGATAAGTGGCTGTTTAGAGATATTGAAAGATAATCACAAATATGTCTGTACCTCATTCAAGTCACTCAAAAGCCATAACGGGCTGTTGAGGTGGTTCAGTGGGGTCTGAGTTTGGATCTCCATCACCCACATAAAAGTTGGGTGTGGGGGCTGGAGGGATGGCTCAGCAGTTAAGAACACTGGCAGCTCTTGCAGAACACCTGGGTTTGATTCCCAGCACCTACGTGGCTGCTAACAACTGTCAGTAACTAACTCCACGCCCTCTTCTGACCTACATGCAAGCAATACACTCATACACATTAAAAAAGAAGAAGAAGATTATATGTGATACCATGCACTTGTAACCTCAGCACTGGTGGGGGAGCAGAGACAAGAAGGTCCAGAGGTTTGGTGGCCAACCAGTCTAGACAGTTGGTGAGTTCCAGGTTCACTGAGAGATCTTGTTTCAAAAATAAAGTGGAATATGGAATTTGGGAGAGTGCTGATAAGGAAGGAGGAATAAAGATGATTAAGCTGTTGTGTATGAAATACACAAAAATGTACAAAAAAAGTCTAAGCTGTCCCACAAAATAGGCGGAGAACAGTAGAGAAGATAGCTGATGTTGACCTCGAACCTCCACAGGTACACCACACATGCCATAACAGTATACTACATCAAACTTCATGATCTAATTTATATTTTAGTAGAAATTTGAAAATTATAGGGAAAGGAGAAATGAAACCATTAGACTCTAAGGTATCCACTGAGCAGAAAACCATGTATTTAGGCATTTCTTTGATAGTTATTCTTAAAGTTGTAGGACATAGAAGCAAAGTGAAACATCTCACTTCTATGATCTAAAACAGAAAAAAATGTTCTTTAGAGAAAAATTTTTATGTTTCATTAAAATACTTTTCCTTTGCCATGTTTTTCTGAATCATTCTGTAACTCTCTGTCCTAAGCCATGATGTGAAGAAAGTATTTTCAGAGGATAAGCCTTCTTTCTGGGCATGAATCAGTTCTGACTGTGGCAATCTATGCGACAGGGAAAGCAAGAGTCAAGAGCATGTTTATGAACTTTAGACTCCTGGAAGACCATAGTGAACATGATGCATTGCATAACAAGTAAAATTAGCAACTAGACCACAGGCATTTTTATCAGCCAACAAATTATTACATAGTCCTTCCCTGCACATAACAATTTTATTACAATTTGCATCTGATGGCCACCAGCTACAGAGGTAAAGTGCCAGTGTGACTAGTCAGGGACGATTTTTATCACCATTTAAACACCCCCTCCCTTGTACCAAGTTCTTTTACGCATGATAATACATGGGTGCCTATAATAATCTGATTAATTTGTAGAAATCCTTAAAATTATAGTGAGTTTATATCTCTCTAATAGCAAAGCAGTATTTTTTATTGGTCATTTTATTGAGCTGTACATTACACTAGTTGTCTGGGCAGGTACAGCTGTTGCCATTTGTAAGTCCATTGCCCTCTGTATGTATAGTTCCTTTGTTTAAGCTAACAATCAGGATTGGCAAGATGGCTCAACAGATAAAGGTACTTGCCACCAAGTCTGACAACCTGAGTTTGATCCCTGGGACCCACATGATAGAAGGAGAGAGCCAATTTCTACAAGTTGCTCTCTGACCGCCACACAAAGACCATGGCAGTGTGCACCCACACACATACGCATGTGCACACACAAAATGAATAAATAAAAACTCAATAAAATTTAAGCTGAGAAACAAAAGAGTAGCCATATAGTTGGTTAACCTTTGTCTCTATCTCATCAGGAAGAGACCACAAAATTTCTGATGGAGAACAGGAGGTCTAATTCCCCTTCGTTTCTTATTGTTAGCTAAAATTGACTTGTTTTTCTCTATTTCCCTATAAATGTTCTAAGAATGTCTTCATGATTCTGTGATAATTTTTCTGAGTGTTGATATGAGAATCTACTAAGCTTTGCAATACACAATGACATACAGAGTAAAAACTAGAAATAGTAATTTTAGAATTGACAATAATGATGCCAAAAGTCTTTTTCTTTTTCTTTTCTTTTTTTTTAAGATAAACTACCCAAATTGTTTAATGTTGTTAAACCAGAAGGTGAATGGAAACAACACTTTTGGAACAATTTTAAATATCAAAATTTTTTATAACTAGTCTTTGAAAACATCCTTTTTAAGACAGTGCCTCACTGAGTACCCTGGCTGGCCTGCAACTCACTATACTTGCCTCTTTCCATGATGCTTACACCTCCTAATACGTTCCAATATTTCGGTCTTAGGAGTACAAAAGAATAGTTCTATTTTCTTTGGAGGAAGAGAAGTAACCTCACCCCACAAATGTTGCTTTACTTAGGAGTCTGCTGACTTACATTACACATCTCTCTGGATTTCCGTATTGGAAGGTGGGTACTGAGTATCATAAGGAAGGGAAGATAAATCACCTCATGGTGTGGTTACCCTAGGAGGTGAAGAAGCATCTGGTCCCAAACTTCGGCATCCTTTGGAGGTTTTTTTTTTTTTTTTTTTTTTTTTGGTCTTTTTGAGACAGGGGCTCCCTGTAGCCCCAGCTGTCCTGGAGCTCACTATGTAGACCAGTTTGGCCTTGAACTCACAGAGATCCACCTGCCTCTGCCTCCCAAGTGCTGGGATTAAAGGCTTGTACCACCATGCCAAGCTTTGGAGTTTTAAAAAATATTTTATTCATTATTTTTATGTGTAAGTGTATTATCTGCATGTATGTAAGCATACCCATGTCATGTAATGCCCAAGGAGGTCAGAAGAGGGCACTGAAACTAAATCCCCTGCAACTAGAGTTAGAAATGGTTGTTAGTGACCACATGAGTGTTGGGAATCAAACCCAGGTCCTTTGCAAGAGCAACCAGTGCTCTCAACCACTGAGCCATCTCTCCAGCCCCTCTTTAGGAGTTTTTAACATCTTACTAAAATATTCTTTTCTATTGTGAGCAGTTCAAACAGTCCTACTCATCCAAAAATCTTATTTATAACTAGATAGGATTTCAGTTAGATTATATTTTATTCTTGACAATTTTAACATGATGGCCATCATTTCGATTGAGTCAATGAATATAACTATCATTAAGC